ACAGGCAATGAACAATTAGTTTAAATGAACTCATAGATGTACACAAACATACACATGGGCATACTTGTAGTATAGTATACTCACGCATACTATATACACACACTCACATACATATATACATACATGTTTTTATTTTAGTAATTTCTTTGTATCCAAATCGTAAATTCGTTCTATAACTATAATTTCTAACCATAACAAATGTGATCTCTGTACTTTATACAGTCTAGTACATAGAATACTATAATACACAATAGAATGGTTGTCAACCTTATTTTGTACGACGATAGGCGTCGCCGGGAGCACACATACAAGCAATTACGTCGTATTATCAGTTAATCACTACTACAAACCCGATTCATTGTGTTGACAGACGGATTATGTTAAATTCTTTTCCTTATAATTTAGCTACAGAGTCAAAGGGCACGTCCCCTTAAATGAAGTAATATTGTTAAAATAAAACTGTTGTTAGTAGTTAAGTTGTTAAATCAAACATTAACGTATTTTCCATGTCCTATGAAAAAACGAAATAGATAAATAATTATCATTCACTGGAAGAAAGTCTCTCGACTGACAGCCCTGTATCTGCAGTTAAAGTTTAGGGGGCTGCCCTATACTTTAATTACACATTCATTGCATTCACAATTGCAATCCACTTGATAGTGACAATCTGGTAAGACATGCGGGAGGCACTGTTGTCTTAAAAAGCACATGTCCATCCTGGGTCTAAGCAAATCAAGGATGTGTCTGTTCTGTTCCATAACGAAAGAAACGCCTCTGCACATCCTAACTGATTGCGGACCCTTAATGCGTAAACGTAACACTCATCTGGGACACTATCTTCTCCGACCAGAAGAAGTGAAATTGCTCACGGCTAAACAACTCCTTCTATTCATTGAAGACATAGGGCTTAGCAGTGAACTATAGTCCTGGCAGCGATCACAATAGATCTTCTAGGTCGCAGTTATACTGGTCTCTTTCCCTAGACCAGCATAGCTGCTCGCACATAATTAAAAAAAGACATGCAGGAAGTTGATATATGCAGGTGGCACAGAACCGAATTTTGTGGCTTTTTCGGGGGAGGGCCTATGCTTAACGGTAACCTTATGAAGAGATGTAATTTATGATAAATGTGATGACGACGAAAGGTAACAACCACATGGCGGCAAGTGGATACTGTAATCCATATTCACCATCCATTCTTTCATTAAGAATCTAAATGCAAATTCGTTGCCACCCCTGAGGATTAAAATGGAATGCCATATAACCTGTAACTATCCTGGCTCGTACACTTTTAAATAGGAAGACATTAGTGAGTAAACTGCTGCAGCAGATATAGGTAAGTTTGAACACTAACCTAACACCTTCGTCAAAAACTTGCCTGGAAAAGCCTGGAAAACAATAACGAGGTAGCGATATATTTAGAAACATTACAAGTGTGTAGTAGCGGCTTTAGGGAATCCATGACCCTTATTCTTTTAGTATGCGTCGTAAAAACCGAATTACGCAAAGGCTGATATAACCTCACGAGCTTACGACGTCAGATAAATTGTGAATATCCATCCGAGAAGCCTGTAAACAGGCTGGGTACAATATAGAATACTATAATAGGTACATAATATAACGGGGGAGTGGGCGCAGCCGTAGCGCGGAGCGTGTAGCCACTAAAATGTCACTAACACGTCAATTCACACGTATAAACGTCAACTCGGCTGGGCAGCGTTCGGGAAATTACGACATATCTTCTCGTCAAGTATACCTCAAACTCTAAAAACTAGATTGTACAACCAGTACGTGTTGCCAGTGATGACTTACGGATAGACTCAGAAATGAGGATATCCGCAGTAAAACCAGAGTGACCGACATAGCCCAACGGATTAGTAAGCTGAAGTGGCAATGGGCCGGCCATATAGCTCGAAGAACCGATAACCGATGGGGAAGAAAGGTTCTCGAGTGGCAGCCTCGTACCTGTAGACGTAGTGTAGGACGACCCCCCACTAGATGCAGTGACGACCTGGTAAGATACGCAGGAAGTCGATGGATGCAGGTAGCTCAGGACCGTGCTTTGTGGCATTACTTGGGAGAGGCCTATGTTCAGCAGTGGACTTGTGAAGGGCTGTGATGATGATGATGATGATGAAACGTCAATACGAGATTTGTTTTGACGTTACAATCGTTTCCAAATTTCCCAAGCAAATTATTTAGAAAATGCCAAATTGCACGCTATTTACAAATAAATATGTATTAAAATATGTCAACACAGCGAATCGGGTTTGTAGTAGTGATAATACGACGATATTGCTTGTATGTGTGATCCCGGCGACGCCTATCGTCGTATAAAATAAGGTTGACAGCCATTTTATTGTATATTATAGTATTCTATGGGGTACAATGTCTACGGCGTTAGGTATCTAGTAATACCAGCGCCAATTTGTTACCACACTTGATTAATTCTGTAAGAAAAGAGAGCCTTATTTGACATCACAAAATGAAAAACAAATCACGAGATATTGAGTATCTTAAACATAAAAGTCAAAACGATTTACATATCTGTATCCAAGTTGCTTCATACTTTTGTTTTGGGTAAATAAAATAAAACTTTCCTAGTTATAGAACAGTTATTAGTTGGTAATTTTTTCTGTATTTACAAACGAAACTTTTTTTGACTATGTACGTTTTTGTAAATGACTGAGGGATATGGTTTTTCTTACTTAATTTATTGCCATTTATTTTATCATAATTTGGACATTTTTAGATTATATTAAAAAATCTAACATTCATCAAATGTAAGTAAAAAATGGGTAACTAACATTTATTTAAAATTTGTACGGCTGGATTAGGTAAAATGCAATGGAACTTATACGTTTTTAATAATAATTTTGTAACAACGATATTCAAATACATAATTATAAATTTTTAATTATTAATTATGAGATTTAAAAAAATACCAGAATTTGTGTGAGAAGTCAAATTAAGTCCCTATTTCAGTTAAATGCTGCTGTACTAAATGACCACGCTGCTGATTTTCAAATAGAGTCCTATATTGAGTTTACAGACGGACATACAATACCTCTACAGTTAAAAAATTAAAAAAAGTACCAGTAAAGTACGACCTGTACTTGTGAGAAACGTGAGGTTAACAAAATAGTCATTGCAACCACGTTAAGTTGTTTGTCAGATCACGTGTCCTGTCCCAGTTAACAGTTGTGAGTGTAACTAGTTCTAGTTATGTAATGAAATGAACATTCATAAACATGTGGTACAGCACCACAAATATAAGGCAGTTGTGGCCCAAAAGTAAATATAAAAAGAATATTCAAAACAGATTAAATAAGTATAATAAGTAAGTATATAATATATGTTCCCCGTATATACAGAAAATACGTGCCCGTGTATTTAATGTGTGTTATGCGTATGTGATGTATGACATGAGTTTCCTGAGTGGCAGTCCTATTTGGACCATTTCCCATAAAAAGGTTTTTTTTTAAGTTAGCTATACACTTTTTTATATGTTTTGTACCCATCTGCTTTGTCAAAACGATTTATTTTTCATTGTAAGTATATACTCGTACTTAAGTCTAGTTACATATTACCTATACAAAATGTTTGTTTTGAGTATTTAGTGCTACATTGTTAAGAAATGGCCAAATAAATATCTCTTTCTTTCTTTCTTTCTAACTGGTACTATGCCAAAAATCCAGGACTAGAATTCCTACTGAAGCTCACATTTGAATAGAAATTGTTGGTTCCCACATCAGGTTTTGTAGTGTGGCCATTGCATAGCTTAGGCTAATAGAAAAACAAATTTATCGGCATAGAACTCTTTTTCTAATACGTACTTACAAGAGCCCATTGTAGAAACGCAAGAACTATAATATAATATAATAGCAGCTTAATACTGCTGTATTTCGTATGGTGAGGTTAGAGATTCGGAGACCCCTTTTTATTGGAAACGAGACATTCCATCTTAGTCCTCACGTGAGTGGCAACGCATCTTCGTTTTGATTCTTAATGGAGGATAAATGTAGATGTCTATGAACCACATCATCCACTTACAATCAGGTGGACTGTGTGCTCGTTTGTCACCCTCATTCTATAAAAAAATCTGCGTAGTAGAAAACTGAACACCGCATTTTGCTTATATCGCAAATGTACTCTATGAGAATAGTTACGTACAAGCAAATAAACAATTTTGTATGTCAATGTTGAGGCTCGTCGCATAAGGCTCGTCTATTTTCGAGCAACCCGATGTATTTGGGTCGATATGCGACCTCGATAGCACGCGCAATGTCCGATCAATCGGAGGCAATCACTGTCCGATAAGTACTACACGCGCTTTCAATTACGCATCGTCACTGCTCTAGATAAATTATATATAAAGCTAAGGTTTTACTGTGTGTACGTGTGGGTCGGGACTAGGGTTGCCACCCATTTTATAATATATAGTATCGTAATATATTTCAGTCAATTATACTATATATTATAGAAAAATAATATAGTAGGTACGAAAAGTACTATATTTTTATTCCTAATTCAACTGTCGCGCTTTTTATGTTAACTGTGATTGGAAGTCTGGAACAAGTTAATATTACAGAGATTTTTTCCATCATGAATGTAAAATTGAAAGAAAAAGAGCACGTATTAATTTAATTGGAAATGAATTATTAATTTATTTTAACCTTCCGTATACGAGGTGGGGTATGACATACCCCAGCGTTAAAAAACTTGTTACAATTTTTAAACGAAAAAGGCGCGCAAGTTGGTTTTCTCAGTAGAGGCAAATGCGACGTTGCCGCTCCGATCCGTGCGAAACATTTAGTCCGGCGTCAGCCACAAACCGTGTGACACGTACGTGAAGTGCGCTTGGGTATCACACACCCCACCTTGTACGGCGCGTGGCCCAAAAGGTAAGTGTAACTACTTTTGATTTTTATTAATTTATATGTTTATTTCGATGTATAACGTGGTGAAATATTGTTTGCTGGTAATAGTTTTACTAAAACATGTCTCGGTTAGCGGAAGAAGATATATTACGAGCATTGACAGAAGAAGACGATGATTGTGACACTGAGTTTATGAATACCGAACAAGAATCGGATGGTGATGCAGATCATATCAGTGCTCAAAGCAATACAGATAGTGAAGTGGATGCTGACATACCATCTTTGGATTCAGACAGTGATGACTTACCACTCTCGGAGTTGCAACAAGCTGATCATACAGAATATTATAAAGGTAAAGATGGGGTTACAAAATGGAAAAAAATCCATACAGGCTTGCAATTCGTAACAGAGCTGAAAATATTATTTATCATATAACTGGCGTAAAATCAGTTGCGAGAGACAAGAACTCACCTATTTAGTGCTTTTCTTTATTTATTACTTAAAATATGATTTCTGACATCGTTTATTACACCAATGAGAAAAATCGTTTGCAATCTACTAAAGACCCACAAAAATAAGAAACAACACAAAACAGCAAAATTTGAGATTTGATAGCTCTGCTACACGAAGTGAGAGAATAAAGATAGATCGATTAGCCCGATCAGAAGTATATTTGAACAATTTGTAAAAAATTCTCAAAATGTTTACATTCCGTATGAAAACCTTACTTTGGATGAAGAACTAGTAGCCTTTAGAGGACGTTGTGGTTTCCGCCAATACATACCATCCAAACCAGCAAAATACGGCATAAACATTTATGTTTTGGTGGACAATACAACAAGACCTATTACACCCTAAATATGGAAATATATTGCGGCAAGCAACCTGAGAATGGTCCTTATGCTATTAGCAATAAACCCTACGACGTAGTTGATCGACTGGTACAATGTGTTTCACAAACTTCACGAAATATTACTATGGATAATTTTTTTACAACTTACGAGAGCACTAATAATTTATTGAAAGATCATATACTGTATGTGGTTGGAACGTTACGCGCTAATAAAACTTATATTCCACCTGTATTCAAAACAAATCGTGAAGTAAATACTACAAAATTTGGATTCCAAAAAGATATTACAATCTTATCCTACGTACCAAAGCCACATAAAATGGTGTATATGATGTCGTCATTGCATCATGATAAAGAAATCGATCTTGAAACAGGAAGTCAGCAAAAATCGGCTATTATTACGTACTACAATAAGACTAAAAGTGGCGTAGATGTTGTTGATATTTTATCAAGAACTTACGATGTTTCACGTAATTCTAAGCGTTGGCCTCTGACGATATTTTTCGCTTTACTCAGTATGATTATACACATGTTCAACAACGGCATCGAAAAAAATAAAACTAACTTGAGAGGAAAATTCATTCGGGAATTAGGTTTGTCTTTAGTAAGACCCCATCTAGTAGAAACAAGAAGGCGGAATCAAAGACTTCCTAGGGAAGTGCGGCAAGGAATTGGAAAGTATTTTCAAAAACCCCTTGAAAACTGACAAGAACCGCCGGCGAAAAGGTCTAACACAATGCAAAGATGCTCATTTTGTCCTAGACAAAAGGATAGGAAGACTAGGCACATTTGTAAAAAATGTAATACGCCTATATGTATGGAACATGCAGATTTTTATTGTCAAGACTGCGGAAACTTAATTGATTATGATCTCATTTATTGTTGTTTGTTTTTACTTTTAATTGTTAATAGCTTAAAACTAGATATATTGTAGTCTTATAAATTAAGAAGACTGTAATTCTAATAAGTGCTATTTGATTTTAGTACTCAAGAAAAGACTTAATAGTTTATACTTTGAAGAAAAAGTTAATTTTTTGTACTTTTATTAATAAAAGTCTATTCTAATGTTAAATTAAAAATTTGTTTTACTTAAACCAATTCATTATTAGATATAAAAATATATTTATTATCATTTAAAAATAAAAAGAACAATTTTACGGATTTTATTATATTTTATTATTAGCGTATAGCAAACCCCACCTAGTATAGCATGTGAGATTTAGTCACCTAGTATACGGAAGGTTAATATGAATCTAAATTGCTCAGACACCTATAATTATTTTAAAGGTAAGCTAAGGTGGTTAGCTCATTGACGCCAAAAAAAGTTACAGCCTATTTACGTCCCACTCCTGGGCAAGGAATTGTCCGCCACGCTGCCCCAATGCGTGTTGGCGATTTTCACATGTCGTCGAAATATTTTTTCTTATTTCTCAGATATGCAGGTTTCCTCACGATGTTTCACTTCACCGCCGAGCACGTGGTATATCAGCACTTAAAATTGCAATTAACAATTTCATTGGTGCCGGCGGGGATCGAACCCCGCTTGCTCGCGTACTCTGAAATTTACAGCGAGCGCTAACCATCTGAGCTACCACGGCTCATATTGACGCCAAAGCAAAGAGCAATATTAAATATATATGAAAAAATATATAGATTAAAAATAAATGTGTATTTTTTTCTCCAAACTTCTCAAAAGCACTACATTTTTACATCTTTTTTGGGAAACACCATATTTGTTCAAAAAAAAAAGGTGGCAACCCTAGACGGGACGCCGCAGGGTCTTGCGAAACCTGTACACTGTACAGCGTAGTCGCTGCTACTTGTAAAATAAAAACTAACTGTTACAAACTAAACACCAATTAGCTTTTTTTAACCAATTAACTTTTTTTACACATACAGTTGTAAAGTAAAACGGCAATTTCATACTTTAATTAAAGTATGGAACTGCCGTATCGTCTGTTTACTTTTGTTTTTTAACATTCGGGGTTAAAAATTAACCCATAATAATAAAAATATATATTTTAAATTATGTTTAAGGAAACAACACTATTGTAAATGAACTTATAAGTGCGTGAAAAGCGAGTCCCTCGACAAGGCTTTGAGTGTATCCTAGATATTTTAGACAAAACTTAAAATTTGTTTCTCACATCTTTGTTTCAAAGTTCTTAATTCATTTTATCCGTCGCCACACCTATAACTGACATGTCATTGGCATTCACACCTAAGTATGTTGTAGCCCCCACGATAACATATATATAAACGTGAATTGTAGTTGTTAAGAGTAGTCTAATTAAAGTCATAGAAGAAGAAACATCTCTCTTATTTTACACCTTTCTTACAGTACAAGACGACCCTGCCATATACCTGACATATCCCTGCCAGGATTCCTCATACATTACAATATACTGGATGACCTTTTTAGCGTCTGAAAAAAAAAGGATGTAACATGTGAGCGGAGTAGAAGCCTATGGCACTGATATTTTACAAAAAATAAAAACAAATATTTTGAATTAAACAAATAAATTAATTAAAATCTATAGCAATTCAAATCATACCCACCCACGGCATCTTTGACCGTGTTACTTGTCAGGGTCACAGGCTCAAGGGCAAAGGGCAAAGTAATTGTAAAAAAAAAAGTTTCAAACGTTTAAATCAACATTTTTGCTTTTATTTTTTGTAAAATATCAGTGTCGTAGGCTTCTACTCCGTTCACATGTTACACCCTATTTTTTCCCTACGGTATGAAATATCATCCAGTATGTACCAAAAATGGGAGAGGTCCTGGTCCGAAGGGGATTATTACGAGACTCTGAAGTATTAGTCATACCTTCTGCACCCCTCTTTCGGGACGATAATGGTTGATGTAATCCATTACATTGTCACAACGTGGCTAACGATTCTCTTATTCCTCAAAGTCAAAAATAATTTAAGATAATTACTATATTTTTGTGAGTGTGAGTTGAAGAGTGTGGTTTGCAAGATGATGCGGTGACCAGGACAAATATATGTTGTAGAAGTGAATGGAAGAGTCGGAAAGGGACGTCCTAGGCGAAAGTTTGTCGACCAAATTGGCGATATATTAAAAGAGTACCCTTAACCGACGAGCATGTACGCGTAGGTATATGGATGTGGAAGAGGCGAGAAAGGTATGTCAGGATCGTGCTAAATGGAAGTCTGTAGTCTCTGCCTACCCCTCTGGGTGACAGGCGTGAGTGTTTATGTATATTTATACTATATTTTTATATATAATAGCGGCTCGCCTAGCTTTGCCCGGGTAGAAAAATTATATATTTTAAAAAATAGGCAGATAATTTTCTTCATAGTAGACCCATGCTGCAGTGTTTTAGTAGCGTAGTTGTAGCACGAATAAGTCAGCTCGACTGGGGAAGGACCACGATCTCACAGGATACCAGCTTAAAATAGCAGCTTAACACTGCTGTGTTTTGTATGGTGAGCGTAGAGAACCGGAGACCCTTTTTACTGAAAACGAGGCATTCCACCTACGGGTGACAACGCACCTGCATTTTAATGTAGATGTCTTTGGGCCACAGCTACCACTTATCGTGAGTTAGACTATGTGCTCGTTTGTTATCCTTATCATATAAAAAAGGTACAATTTAATTTAAACATTTTTTTTATAATGCAGATTCGTTGTCACCCCTGAGAACTAAGATGGAATGCCTCACCATGCGAAACACAGCAACAGTAAACTGCTACTTTACGTTGGTATTCTGTGAGAGCACGGTCCTTCCCCGGTCGAGCCGACCCATTCGTGCTGCAACCATAATATAGCTGCAGCGTGCAGCGTATTTTATGTTATACCACATTTTTCGTTGCATTTTTCTGAGGTTTTAAAACAAATTGATTCTTAATGATTTCTTATATTTACGCGAACACTACACATTGATTAAAACTACTTTTAAGGATTTTATCGCGTTTAATTTTAATTATTTTAATTCTCGACGTTTCGCGTGATTTCCAGCACCCATGTCCATTCCTGTCTCCCGTGACCATGGGTGCTGGTAAGCACCCGAAACGTCGAGAATTAAAATAATTAAAATTAAACGCGATAAAATCCGTAAAAGTAGTTTTAATCAAATTGATTCTTCGCATTTCCTGACCTAGAGAGACCACTAAAATTATGTCGCGCGAGAATTTTTAAATAAAAATGGTTACTGTGAGTTTTCCTTAAAAGGCAGACAAATCTGCTGTCGCAGTGTTTCTAGAACTTTTCAAGAGGAACAGTTCAGCCATTCATTATTTTCGCGCACCTTTTACTATTGACATAGGACGATATTTTTCGACTTATTTGACGGATTTCAAATGGTGAAAGAATTTATCAAATAAGTCTTTTCGTCTTTTAGGTACTTCATGATATTAACAATAACTTGATATAATATATAATTTATTACTAGTACAGATAAAAAATTGCAACAGACCTTTTTAGTCGACTTCAAAACAGAAGGTTCTAAATTCGACTGTATGTTTTTGTGAGTGTG